ACCCAGGCGCCCCGGAAAATGTTTAGTCTATTTTCCTCATAAAAGTATTAAAAATTTGTTGTTGTTGTTTATTTTTAATCTCTACACCCAACGAGGGGCTTGAATTCATGACCCCAAGATAAAAAATTACATGATCTTCTGACTGAGCCAGCCAGGCACCTGGTATTAAATTTTTTTTTTTCAGATTCACTGTGAGCTACTGGTTTTCCTGAATTCTGGATTGCCCCTTCTAGTTAGTTGAGGCTGCCATTTTGGCTGATACCCATCATTTCCCATGTTCTTATAAAACCAAATTCATTCACATGAATTTATCAAAGCAAGCAGTAGTCACATTCTTTCCAATATTTAGTATAATTTGGTCACTAGTAAGGAAATAGGTGTTTTGGCTATTCCCACAGAAAAATAAATTTGATTGCTTGTGATCCTGGTATTCATGGCTAATTATTTGGTATGTATACCATCAGACTTTTCCCAATGTTTATGTAGCTATCTTTTTTTTTTTTTTAAGATTTTATTTATTTATTTGACACAGAGAGAGAGACAACTAGATAGGAAACACAAGCAGGGGGAGCAGGAGAGGGAGAAGCAGGCTCCTGGCTGAGCAGGGAGCCCAATGTGGGGCTCGATCCCAGGACCCTCGGATCATGACCTGAGCTGAAGGCAGACGTCTAACGACTGAGCCACCCAGGAGCCCCTGTAGGTATCTTTATATGCATGTATGTCTAGTTCTTATTTTTTACTGATAATCTTATATTCAATTAAATAAATTCTAATTTATAGCATTTGAAGAGATTATAATTATTTTTTAAGAAAAAAAACATTTATTGCAAGGTGCAAGGTATCAGATAATATATGGGATTTCCAGAAGGACTAAAGAACAAAGTTTGCATGCTACACAACCAAAAGCTACACATCACGAGAAAAGCCCAATTAGACCAAGATGGTATTTTTCAAAAATCTCATTCTCCAGTGTCACCCACAGATAAGCACCTAACATGCTATGATTCGACCAGTAGGAACTTCAGCCAGAGCTGCCCCAGAACAACCAAATCCCTCTGCCACTATGTTGGCTTTAAAATCCTATATCCCTGAACTTAGCTGCTGCTTCCTGTTGCTGACTTCTACCTTCCACACATTGCATTGGAAGTCTCTACTTGGCATATATAAGTCATATATAGAACCCTATTTGCAAAGGAGTCTGGGTAACGCAGTTTTTAGCTTTCTGGTTTGCCCCAATACACAGTGAACAAAAACTGATCTTATACTAGGCCAACAAAAGCCTTAACAAATGTTAAACCCCAAAATTTTCAGGCTATAGTCTCTGTTCAGGATTCAGAACAACTAAAAACTATGAAAAGATGAACTTAAAACCTTATGTACTTGAAAACCTATACGTGGGGCACTGGGTGGCTGTCGGTTAAGCGTCTGCCTTTGGCTCAGGTCATGACCCCAGGGTCCTGGGGTCGAGTCCTGCATCGGGCTCCCTGCTCAGTCTCCATCTGTGCGCACTCTCTCTCAAATAAATAAATAAAATCTTTTTTTAAAAAAGAAAATCTATACATAACTAATAGAGAGTAATAAAATTATTTTTTTTAAGATTTTATTTATTTGACAGAAAGAGAGAGAGCACAAGCAGGGGGAGCAGCAGGGGGAGCGGGAGAAGCAGACTCCCCACCGAGCAGGGAGCCGGACGTGGGGCTCAATCCCAGGACGCTGAGATCATGACCTGAGCCAAAGGCAGATGCTTAACCGACTGAGCCACCCAGGTGCCCCATAAAATTAAACTAGTAAAACAGACAACAAACTTAGGATGTGGAAAAATGGGAACCCTCATACACTGCTGCTGAGGAGGTAAAGTGGCATAGCTGCTTTGAAAAACAGCTTAGCAATTTCTTAGGAAGTTAAATATGAATTGACCATATGACCCAGAAATTCCACTCCCAGGTTAATCTACCCAAGAAAAATGAAAACGTATCTCCAAATAAAGATTGCACATTTCACTATTTAATGTATACTAATTCATTTATTTATGTCTATTTTCCCCCTCTGCCCCACAAGGGCACAGTCTTTGTCGTTTCTTGCTGCTCCGCCAAAATCTAAAAGACCACCTGGCATGTACAAGGTCAAAAAGTATCTGTTAAATAAATAACTTTAAAATAACCAGCAAAGGGGCGCCTGAGTGGCTCAGTCGGTTAGCCGTCTGCCTTTGGCTCAGGTCATGATCCCAGGGTTCTGGGATCGAGCCCCGCGTCGGGCTCCCTGCTCGGCGGGAAGCCTGCTTCTCCCTCTCCCACTCCCCCCTGCTTGTGTTCCCTCCCTCACAGTCTCTCTCTCTGTCAATTAAATAAA